ATATATAATCATATTACATTATTACTGATCAGCTTTAAGTTTAGTCATTTTAGGCCGTTTGAAAGAAAATGTTACCTCGTGTTTTCCTCAGAGTTCTCATTTTCTTTATTATTTTTTTAAAACTGTTTAACACATTTCGTCATATTTGGATTAATAATAAATATTCGGGTTTTAAAATATTTCTGCGCTTTAATATGAGAACTTCTGGTGAGGACAGACATATTGATTCTCAAATGTTTCAAGAAACTATATTTTTTTTAGCATCCTTCCTCCTCCGCTGTGAGCCGCGTGAGGGCGTGGCCACAGCCGGGTCCCTCCACCTGATTGGTCGAGGCGCCCAGCAGGAGGAAGGCCGCTCCGTCCAATGAGGAGTCGCGTTGGAGGCAGCGGTCCAGTATATCCGCCGGAGGCAGCAGCATCTCTATTATAGAAGTCATTGGGAGGCCACGAGGAGGCAGGAGGTCCTGCAGGAGTCCCGGAGTTCCAGCTCCAAGTCTTCTTTTTTAGTTCCTCCTCTCTCAGAGTGTGAGGCTCTCTGTGCGCGCGCGGCCGCTTCGTTTCCTTTCCGAGGTGTTTTTGTCCCCCCCCTTCAGAAAAACCACCACAACGGAGCCGAACGAGTACGACGGACAGCGACCCTCCCTCACTTCTGCAATCATGATGTCGATGAACAGCAAGCAGCCCTTCAGCATGCACCCCATCCTGCACGAGCCCAAATACACCCCGCTGCACTCCAGCTCGGAGGCCATCCGCAGAGCCTGCCTGCCCACTCCGTCGGTGAGTCCCGCCTCGTCTGGACCTGCACATCCGGCCCACGAGCACCTCCAGAACCCAGCGCGCGCAAGAGGCCGATGAAGCTCAAATTCTGCTCTTAGTCACAACTTTTACAAGTTGGGGAATTGTTGCACGTGGAAAATGAACAGAACAACTTCTGAAGCGTGAAGAAAGAAAGCGGGTTTCCTTTTTCACAACTTCAACAAAATAAAAGTCTTTCGGTGCGGAGAGCTCGGAACTTTAGAGCAGATTTTAATTTTTAATGTAAAACAAGCAGAATTAAATAAACAGCTTTAACTGCATCAAATAAAACAGTAAAACGAAAATATTATAGAGAATAAATCTGACAAAAAGTATTCAAACTCTTCCGGCCCAATTTAATCGAGTTTAAAACATTTAGTATATTATTGATTTAAAGATGATTTAAAAAACAAAATGAAAAATAACGGCGTGAAATAAAATAATAAAGACATCAGGAATGATTGAGGAACTTTGTGTCGGGAGAGCAGATGCTGCGTGAAGACGCGCGCACGCGTCTTGGAGAGGTGTCGGCTCATTCAGGTTCGAACTCGGCTCGGTTCGGAGTCCGCAGCAATAATTCAGGAGGTCGTAAATATTAATTTTAAATGAATTCCCTTCCCTGCGCGCGCTGACGCACTTTTATTTTCTGGGTGTTGGACGAACCTCCGAGGTCCAGAGTTAGTCCAGAACTGCTGGCTTTAAAAAGTTTTATTATTATTATTATTATTATTATTATTATTATATTATTATTGTTATTATCATTATTATTATATACATTTAAGCTTCGATGCAGGAAAAACAAAAACTAATTTTCCCTTGAAGAAATTATTTTTTTAATTAGTAGATGTTAAATATTGAATTCTGAGAATTGAAAGAAATGAAGATATTTTTATTTGTTTAGAATATTTTTTTAATATTTTTTATTCTGTTTCCGGTTAAAACAATAAAGTTAGAAAATGTTAGTTTTAAAAAACGATGGAAGTGTCCGGACTGGTTCTGGGTCCAGTTACTGATGGTCCAGTTCTGATGCTTTGGATAATTTAGCTCTGATGGTTCTGGTGGTTTGAACGGGTTCTGATTCTGATAGTTTGGTTCTGACTTTTTGGGTCTGATGGTTTTTATTCTGGTGGTTCTGGTTATGAAGGCGTTGATGGTTTGGATCTGATGGCCCTTTGGTTCTGGTGGTTTTGTTCTTATGGTTTTAATGGTTTTGGTCTAATAGTCCTGATGGTTCTGTTCTGATGGATTATATTCTGATGGTTCTGATAGATGGCTTTGATGGTTTGGTTCTGGTGGTTCTGGTGTTTTTGTTCCAGTGGTCCAGTTCTGATGATTTGGAAAATGTAGCTCTGATAGTTCTGGTGGTTTCACTTCTGATGGTTTAAATGATTTGGTCCTGGTGGTTCTGATGGTTTTGTTTTGATGTTGGTTCTGATTCTTTTTGTTCCATTGGTTCTGCTCTGAAGTTTTTATTTTATTCTGGTTCTGTTCTAACGGTTCTGCCTGTGTCCCCGCAGTTCCAGGGGAACATCTTTGTGGGTTCTGATAGTTCTGTTCTGACAGTTCTAATGGTTTTAATGGTTTGAGTCTAATGGTTCTGATGGTTTTTATTCCGATAGTTCTGTTCTGATGTTCTGTTCTGATGGTTCTGATGTTCTATTCTAATGTTCTGTTTTGATGGTTCTGATGTTCTGTTCTGATGGTTCTGATGTTCTGTTCTGATGGTTCATATGGTTCTGATGGTTCTGATGTTCTGTTCTGATGGTTCTGTTGGTTCTGATGGTTCTGATGGTCTGATGGTTCTGATGGTTCTGATGGTTCTCATGTTCTGATGTTCTGATGGTTCTGATGTTCTGATGGTTCTGTTGGTTCTGATGATTCTGATGGTTCTGATGGTTCTGATGGTTCTGTTGGTTCTGGTGATTCTGGTGGTTCTGATGTTCTGATGTTCTGATGGTTCTGTTGGTTCTGATGGTTCTGATGTTCTGTTCTGATGGTTCTGATGTTCTGATGGTTCTGATGGTTCTGATGTTCTGATGGTTCTGTTGGTTCTGATGGTTCTGATGTTCTGTTCTGATGGTTCTGATGTTCTGATGGTTCTGATGCTCTGATGGTTCTGATGGTTCTGATGGTTCTGATGGTTCTGTGTCCCGCAGCTCCAGGGGAACATCTTCGCGGGTTTTGATGAGACCCTCCTGCAGAGAGCCGAGGCTCTGGCCGCCGTGGACATCGTGGCCCAGAAGAGCCACCCGTTCAAGCCCGACGCCACCTACCACACCATGACCAGCATGACCTGCACCCCCACCTCCTCCTCGGCCCACCTGCACCACCCGTCCGTGCTCACCTCCCACCACCACCCTGCGCACCACCAGCCTGCTCAGGGCCTGGAGGGGGACCTCCTGGACCACCTGACGCCGGGGATCTCCTTGGGGGGCATGCCCGGCTCCGACGTCTGCTCCACGGCGTCGCACACGGCGCACGCGGCCCACATGTCGGCCATCAACCACATGCAGCACCACCACCACCACCCGCAGACCATGAACATGCACCCGCACGCGCTGGCCTCCCACGCCTCCCTGGGCTCCGGACCCGACGCAGAGCCGGACCCCCGCGAGCTGGAGTCCTTCGCTGAGAGGTTCAAGCAGAGGCGGATCAAGCTGGGGGTGACGCAGGCGGACGTGGGGGCGGCGCTGGCCAACCTGAAGATCCCGGGGGTGGGCTGCCTGAGCCAGAGCACCATCTGCAGGTTCGAGTCCCTCACGCTGTCCCACAACAACATGGTGGCCCTGAAGCCCATCCTGGAGGCCTGGCTGGAGGAGGCGGAGCGCGCGCAGCGGGAGAAGATGTCCAAGCCCGAGATCTTCAACGGGGGGGACAAGAAGAGGAAGCGCACGTCCATCGCGGCCCCCGAGAAGCGCTCCCTGGAGGCCTACTTCGCGGTGCAGCCGCGGCCCTCCTCCGAGAAGATCGCAGCCATCGCCGAGAAGCTGGACCTGAAGAAGAACGTGGTCCGGGTCTGGTTCTGCAACCAGAGGCAGAAGCAGAAACGGATGAAGTTCTCCGCGACGCACTAAAACTAAAACTAAACTCCTTTTTTTAAAATAAAATAATGAAAAAGAACAAAGAAAAAGAAAGAAGAGCCGAACTGCTGCTGCAGGAGGAGCGAGGAGAACCAGAACCGAGCACCAGAACCGAGCACCAGAACCTCCCTCACTTTTCACTTCTGTCTTTAAACCAAGTCTAAAACAATAAAAACATGTTGGTTAAATCAGAATAAATAAAAACAATCTCAACTGAATTTAAGTTAAAATTAAAATTTTATTCAGATTCAACTCAAATATTTCATGTTTTATTGAAAGAATGACGCCATTTATCAGGAGGAAAGATTTTTATTATTGTTATTATTTACCAAAGTAAAAAAAAAAAAACAGTAATCTATTAAAATCCACAGGAAGCTTTAAATCTAAAAACAAAACATTAAAAACTGAAATAATCAGTTTTATGAAACTATTTTCTTCTAAAAACCTGAAGCTTTCTAACATTTTGGAACTTAAAAATCTTTGAACGTGTCTCACACATTAATTTATTAATTTACCTATTTATTTATTTATTAAGATCAATAATTGAACAGAGCGGACAGAGAGGCTCGTTTTCATTTCACAGCAGTGTTTAATTTTAAGAAAATTAAACTGAGTTTATTTATAATAACCCCCCCCCCCCCCCCCTGTTTTTTTCTGGATCCGGATTAAAGCTCTCAGTGTGAACAGAAAGTCGGATCCAAACGGTGTACCTGCTCCTCCTCGGACAGGAGGACTTATCGGGACTGGACTCTGAGACCAGGACGGACCCGGTCCTCGGGACTGGACTCTGAGACCAGGACGCACCCGTTCTTCGGGACTGGACTCTGAGACCTGGACGGACCGGCCCCCCCTGATGGACACGCCCACTCGCTCGTGGCAGTTTCTTGTACAAAACAGATCTGAATATTGGTGCGGGCTGTTCGGCCCACAGAGCTTTTTTATATTTATTGGTGTAAATAATTGTGAATATCTGCACTTCCGGTTCGGGGCAGCTCCGTGAACCCGGTTCACCCCTCCCGGATCGTTTCTTTTTATTCTCTGTACATTTTTGGAGTATAAATGAAAACGTGTCCGTTTTTGTCTCATGTCTGAGGCTCTGTGATCCATCGCATGGTTTACTGGTTAGGAGCGCGCACGCGCGCGGGGGGAGGAGGAGGTGAGGGCTCCAAAATATCCTCCCCCTGCAAACTGAATGCATTGCAATAAAAAAAAAATAAAAAAAAAACACACTTACACTTAACACGCACGGATTCACACACGCACGTGTAGCTGCGTGTCTACCTCATTACGCAAGAGTTGGCACGTTCACGGTTCTTCTGTTTTGTCGCACTGTGGATTCACTGGCGTGGAAACCCCGCAACTTCACCGCAACGATGCTTCGACAATCAATCAGGTCGATCAGCTCGATCGATGATTCGTTCCTTTGATTGCTCTCCCCTGTGGGTTTGGGCTCGTGTTGTTTCTGTGGCACTTTGTAGATAAAGTCCTGAAGGAAAGCAGCTTTTACTCTGTTCTCATTTTTGATCTTATTTATTTGGACTTAATTTATGTTGGAGGAGGAAACAGGAAACATTTCATGTGTGACAGTCCATGTGCTTTTAATGTTTCTGAAATAAACCGTGCACGTTTTACTCATGCAAGCCTTTCTTTGCTCATTTAAAGACACACGTTTGTACTTTAAGGAACTATGCCCCCCCTCCCCTCAGCTCCGGGTTGATGTTTGGTTTCATGGAGCTCTGCAACACGAGTCTGCGCCTCTTGGTGCATGTGCGTGTGCGTGGATCACGCACGAAGGAGGAGAGCAGCTGCTGCTGTGAAATAGGAGAAGTGTGGAGGTGAAGGAGGTCCGACCCTCGTCTGCAGGCCTCTGAGAGGAAAACAGCAACAACTGTTTGAATTTATTAATATCAGGTTTAATAAAACTGTTTGAGTTTATTAATATCCGGGTTTATACTTTAATGAAACTGTTTGAATTTAT